GCGTGTCGTGTTCGGGGGGTTTTTCTAGTAGTAGTAGTAGTAGTAGTAGTAGCAGCAGTAGCAGTAGCAGCAGCAGTAGCAGTAGCAGTAGCAGTAGCAGTAGTAGTACCATTACAAATAAATAAAAGTTCTTAGTAATTTTACTAATAGTAGTACTAATAATCTTAATAGTAATAGAAATAGTAGAATAGGAATCTGCAATGGATTGAGTTGAAGCTGCGAATGCGCAAGGGACAGCTCCCAAAACCGCACGCTCTCACGACGTGTCGCACCTCTGCGACCAGCCGATGCACTTGACGCCCAGCATTCCGATGTCTCTGATCGAGGAGAAGGATCATGCCGCCTGGCTCATAACCAAATTTTTCTTAAGGAATACAAATGTTAATAGTGCTAATAATTCTAGTGTCAATGGCAATGATCATAGTAGCACTAATAAGTTGCTCAATAGATGCTAGACCAGATGAGATCTTTTATGATGTGTGCAGCCTCAGTCCGATCCAGCCTGCTGAGGTATACGAGAGCAGCTTCCTTCCGGTAGATGCTACCAGCAGTTACCGCGAAGAAGATGGTCTCTGGCACACTCGGGCCGGGAGCCCAATTCTAGCTACCACAGTTTTCCTGGAGTGTTGTGGCCATGCCAGTCGCCACCAACCCTAAACCCCTAAACCCTAAACCCCTAAACCCTAAACCCCGAAACCCTAAACCCCTAAACCCCGAACCCCTAACCCCTAAACCCCCAAACCCTAACCCCTAAACCCCTAAAGCCCGAATGAGGTTTTCCCTTCGGACAATCCGTCCAGCCGAACAGATGCTGTCATGTTGGACAACTGGATCAGCAGAGCCCTCGAAGAGGTGGAGGATAACCTTGCAGCAGCGGGCCTAGGACCTTGCAGTTAGGGCTTTAAGGGTTTGGGGGTGTAGGGATTTAGGGGTTTAGGGGTTAGGGGGCTAGGTTGAGGGGTTTAGGGTTTATGGGTTTAGGGGTTTGGGGTTTTAGGGGTTTAGGGTTCCTTGTTGATCTTGGTGCTGCCTGGCTCATGCTTCAACGCTGTGCCGAGGCCAGCCAGCGTAGCCGCGACGAGTTCGCAGACACTGCAGCCCAACTGCATATCTAAGGACTTTAGGAGGGACCCCTAATATGGGGACTACCTAGGGATATAGGGGTCATATAATGACTATATAAGGGTTATATATGATAATGGGATTAAGGGTCCCTATTAGGGGTCCCAACTGCATAGCTTGGGTACTGCCCCCCCTCAGTAACAGTTGGATAATCATTCTGATATGGTTATATATAGCCCTTAATAGGACCCCTAATATAGACTGTTACTGGGTGGGGGCAGTGCCCAACTGCATAGCAATCATGAGGTAGGTCTTGTTCTAGTCTTATATTGGTATCATTACTGTAATTGCTATTGCCATTTTGATTGTTATTGTTATTGTTCTTACTGTATTTCCCCACCCTTGATGTGGGGCTGTTAGATTTTAAGGGAGCTATTGGTCTTCGCCCGCCCTCCTCGCCCACTGAGACTACCTCCAGAGACTGAGACTGCGTGTGAGTGCCCACCTCCAGAGACTACCGTGAGACTCCCTGGAGTGCCCAACCCCACAGACTACCGAGATTCCCTGGAGTGCCCAACCCCATAGACTACCGTAATGCATTACCTGTAGGGTGGGGATGTTCGAAGTAAAATAGTTTTCTTTTGTTGATGTTATTATGATTACTTGTAGTTGTAAGTTTGTTATTAGTATTTCTGGTAGTATTTGTACGGTTTTTTACTTTATCTATTTTGTTATTCATTATGATTCTTGCATGGCGCCCCGAAGGTGCAGGAGCTTGTTCCCATCCTCTCCGTGGCTCTGCATGAGATCGTGCGTCAGGTGGGTGGTATTTTGTATATGGGAGAATTATGATACCCAACGTAGAGTAAGATTATAAACCCTGAACCCTTAACATTTATAAGAGGAAGAAGATCTTACCAGCTTCAACCACCGAAAATTCTAGTCAGGTGATGCACCACTGCCCCGAGCGAGGCCTGCCACAGACTCCTGGGAAGGGTGCCAGCTGTTTTGGCAAATGGGCATATATGGGTATTCCGGAGGCTATTAAGGGGGATGCAGAAGTTCAGATTATAGCTCATATGCACCGCTGGAGGCTATTAAGGGGGATGCAGGAGTTTAGACTATAGCTCATGCACCGAACTCGTCATCTTTTTTAGAGATCTATTTGATCTCTTCCTAAGCCTGACGCTGGCATGTACAGCCATGCAGGACGGCTGGGGCGGTTGTAGTGAGTGGCTTGAAAACAGATCCCTCCCGTGCAGGCGCTGCCCTGCAGAAGATCTGGCGCACTTACGTGGACTGAGTAATGTAACCAGGGCCGACGCAGTCACTTGAGGATCTTTCTCTTGGTACATGGCTTGCAGTCGCCTGGTGGCGCTAGATTTCCGGTAAGCTGTTGAACATTGACAAGACAGAGAGAGAGTGGCTCGCAGAGTGCTTCAAGTCTAAATGCGCAATTGTCAACTTCAGGGGCTCTCTCGGGATCGCAAGTACAGCCCCTACTAGTAATACTAGTAGTAATAGTAGTAGCAATAGTAGTAGTGATAGTAATAGTAATAGTAATAGTAATAGTAATAGTAATAGTAATAGTGATAGCAATAGTAATAGTAATAGCAATAGTAATAGTAATAGTAATAGTAATAGTACTAGTAATAGTAATAGTAATAGTCTGCTTGTCATGCTCAGTTGCGAGAGGAACTCTTCGAGCGAGTGCTGGAGCAAATGCGGCAGTCCTTGAAAGTCCACAAGGCAGATCCCGAACCAGGGCGCAATGCTTGAGCAGCCTCTTCCCCCTAAGCTTGGAGGCTTGGTAGTTTCCCAAATTAGGGGACCCTATGTGTAGCCTAAAATACTAAAATCCTTAGTGTGGGGATGGCCAAAATGGTACCTCCACTTTTAGGAATTTTAGTAGACCCTCACTTAGGAACTGCACCTACCAGAGCAGTTGGAGCTTGTCTGGGATGACGGGGACTGGTGAAAGCAATGGAAGGATACTGTGGATAATAAAAATCCTGCATGACCCTAGTATACTATAGTGCCATTATTCCCAAGGTCTAAGGTACCTAGGGTCATGCAGGATTTTTAGTATCCACCGTAGTCTTACGAGAAGGAATGAAAGGCATTGCTGCCATGAAGGAGAGCCAATCCTACATTTTGGGGGGGTTGATTCTAGAATGAAGTACAATAAAGCTATTATTGGTGTATATACATAGATAATATGTGGGGTTTACGGTTAGCCATCGACTAGATCGGACGCATGCTGGGCCCCAGACCTTGGCCCTGTGTTCATTAGGGCGGTTCTGTACGGGATTGTATGGGGTTTCGGGTCCAGGGTCTAAACTTCTCAAGAGGTTTATGTAGGAGATGAAATGGGGCTCAGGGTCTAGGGTCTAAGCTCTTTGAGGGGGGGGTTCTGTACGGGATTGTATGGGATTTACGGTTTAGGGTTTAAAATCCTTAAAGAGGGTTATAAGGGGAATTATGCAGGGGAGCATTATAGCGGGTATGAAGACGCATACCGGGAGTTTAGACCCTGGCTCAGGTGAGCATAGCTGAAGGTTGATTTCGGATCGTTGGAGAGGGCCTTCGTTGCTTGCAGGCAGTGATAGCAGTTTGATGTTGTTGATGTACTGGGGAGGTGGCCCCTGCATGCAGTACGATGAAGACCCTCTGTCGGTTGCCTGCCATATGGCATAGAATTGTATGCATATGATAGGGATCACCTGTTCCTTTGTAGCTCACATTCAGGGCAAAACAGCAGGACTCGCCCCAAGGTGTTGGGGGGTGGAATGTTGGAGAAAGAGGGAAAAACGAATAATAGACACTACTATTGATGTCTGTTAAGGGGTTGTAGGGTTCAGGGATGTACTGAAGTGAGTTTTAGAATGATTATTTGATATCACGTGGCTACTATGCAAGGGTTGCGTTCTACCTGAGTGCCTCCTAAGCCCTGATCCCTAAGACCTAGACCCGACGCCTCAGACTGAACCCTAAGCCCAGAGGCGCTGCAAAAAAAAGCCCTGACCCTTGAACCCTAACTCCTAAAACCTCAATCATCGAACCTTAGCCACAAATCCCAAACCTTTGACCCCAATACGACACCTCAAACTTCTTCGTCTGCGCCAGGAGCGCACAGGTGAAATCCAACAGCAGCTGAAGCAGGCTAACCAGGACTGACTTGGGAGTTTCGTGTTGCTATTCTTGTTGCCATTGCTTGTACGAGTACGGTTACTGGAATTGAAATTGTTGGTATTACTGTTAGGTTCCTAGTAAACCCTAAACCCATTTGAGCTGGAGTCTAAGCTCCTGAAAGGGGGTTATATAGGGGAGCATTGCAGGGGTTATTGAGGGGGATACTAGAAGTTCAGACCATAGCTCATGTTGAGACAACTCCCCGCTGTTGCAGTCGCAGTGGCTGGAGGTTTCTCGGAAACTTGTTTTAAGGGATCCCTGTAGAGATCCTGCATGAGCTTGCTATAGTAGAGTACCATAAGTCTCAAGTTGCCAGTACAATGTAGCTAGGGTCATGCAGTTTTTTGTATGAAGTATGCGGTCGATTTTACGGGCTCCATTGGTACCATTTAGAGGTCTCAAGCTATCATTCTCCAGAAGATATTCCAAGGGCCCCCAGTTTGAGACACCCCCAAGTGCCCAACCCTAACCGCTAGGGATTTTGAGGGTATTGCAAAAGGGCTCCCAATCTTGAGAAACCCTTAAATGCTTCACCCTAAGCCCTCACAGTCCTTGAAAAGGGCCCCTAATTTTCAGAAATTTCCAAGCGCCTAAACCCTTAACCCTAAACCCTAAATAGTAGTTTCCATTTCATTTTCCATCATCTCTATATACCCCCTTTATACTCCCTATAGTTTCCATTTTCTTTCCAGTATTCCAACATTAAGCCCTAAACCCTAAACCCTAAATAGTAGTTTCCAGTTTCTTTTCCATTATCCGAACATTAGCCGTAAACCCCTAAACCCTAAACCCTAAATAGTAGTTTCCATTTTCTTTCCCATTACCTAGCCCTAAACCCTAAATCCTAAACCCTAAACCCTAAACCCTGTACCAGGCGGTGATGCGCAGGCTATGGATGTTCATGCTGACTGTGCGCCCTCTGAAACTGCGGAAGACCCAGACAGTGCCCCAGAAGCTCCCCATGACAAATCCAGTTCATGAACTACCAGTACTGAGTGATGGTTACCTGCGTAGGCCGACAGGGCAACAAGAACCCCCAAGCTGATGCTAGACGTAAAAGAGTCCATGGGGTTGTTGAAAAAAAACCCTAAACCCTAAATCCTAAGCCCTAAACCCTGAACCTAAAATCCTAAACC